GTAGCCTCAACATTACAGCACTTTAGGAGTTCAGAATGAATCTTCAAGAAAATCTGTTAATTATTTTAAGAGTCAGGTTTTTAAAAAATGGGATCTGTAAAAAAATAAAAAACAAAAAGCAAGCACCCAGTGCCAGAGTCTTTAGGTCTCTGGATCTTAACAGAGTAACATGGACTCTTCAAAAAGAACAGGAGTACTTGTGGCACCTTAGAGACTAACACATTTTCAGACTTCCCTAGGCTACAACTCAGCCTGCAAAAAACCAGGAACATGCTACGAGGTGTGATTCTGCATCTATGCTAGGAAAATGGTCAAGTTTAGGTTGGGGTTAGCTAGAGTATTAGCTAAGCCTAAACTAAAAACTCAGCCACTTTTTCCTATACAAGACAAAGCCAGAGACTAAACAATCCCTAACTCCTCTCCCAAGGCGGAGTCTTTCCTGGTCTGAGTTAGGGGTGTGTGTGTGTGTGTAGGTAGGTAGGTAGGAGGGGCAGGTGGGAAGCAGAGAGGAAGAACAAGAAAAACAGCTTGCAACCTGGGCAGTGGCTAACCAGTTCAGTGAGCTGTCAGCGTAGGCCCTTTCACCAGCATTAGATCCACCCATTAAAAAAAAAAGAAGCAGCAGCATGAGAGATTTGATAAAAATAACACTTTTCTGCATTTATTTGTACACACATTTAAATTACAATTGTAAAAATCAAAACTAAAACTGACGTTACACTCAAAATACCAAAGACCAGCCTATGTGTAGCTCCTCTTCATACGAGTGTCACAGCTCCAAAAGGGGAAACTTCATGTCAGTTTATACTCCTTGACATAGGCTCTGAGTTTTCTTTTTCCCCCAGGGGGTGCTCCACTGTCCCGCCCCAAGGCCCTGCCCTCGCTCCACCTCTACCTGCCCTGCTCTGCCCCTCCCTGAGGCCCCACCTGCCTGCTGCTCTCCGCCCTTCCCCAAGCGCCTCACCCAGCTGATCGGTGGCTGCCACCCAAACAGCTGTGGAGTATATATAATGGAGTCTGTGCCTATGTTCCTTGGGGCTTGGAGGAATTTAACATAGGCAAGAGTGCGTATTGTAACAGCTCCAAACTGGCTTTTGGAAGGTCATTAGAGATTTAGCTGCCTATCAGCTTCCTGAAAGGAAGAAACCTAAACTAGACTCCCTACTCCCCAAATGAGAAGTGGGTAAACTCCATTTACCTGTGTTTACCCTCAATTACTTGGAGTCACCAACGCTCAAGCTCCAGATTCTAGCCAAGTCCCCTGCACTGTACAGTATAACATGGAACAAGCCTCATGCTTCTTCCAAGTCTTTAGCACCAGAAGCCACACGTAAGCCTCACTCTCCATTGGTGTTAGACATTTTGCTTGTCCTCTCAGCAGTGCCTGGTATTAGCGTTCATGGTGGGGAGCAGCCTAACATGAGAGAAATGCTTCCGTCCAGAAGCTCTCGTGAGAGTCGGTTCCCATTTGCAATTCTACAGGTGCTTTGTGCATCGGGGAACTTGGCTGTAGACCACCTGGAATCTGCTCTCCACTGAGATCAAATGAGGCAGCTCCAGAGACTTTGGAAACAGCAGTGTGGATTCTCATTCTATTTCCCTTCGGCCGGGATCTGTTTTCTCAAGGTGCTTCTTTCCCCTGCAGGACTCCAGTCACTCTATTCTGCTCACGGTGCTTCGACAGTGCTCCTGCAGGTCTGAGGGACACAAGACAGAAACTATAAGGGATATCAGCTGGACTGATGTTCCAGCGCTGTCACACTGTAATGTATTTGTACCTCTCCTCCCAGAGAGAGATCCTACACTGTACCCCACTCCAATGGGATACAGAGGCCCCAGCCCCTTCTCTTTAGATCTTCCCTTGCAGTTTCAGAGGGACAGAGGATTCTCTACTTCCCATCCCAGAAGGTTGTACAGTATCTGTGGGCCGTCAGACAGCTGCTGTGTTCCACCCCAAGGCTGCTGAGAGTCAGTCCTGAAGCCCAGAAGGTGCAATAGAAACGCAGGGTATGATCGAAGGGACACTCCAGGTTGTTTAGCTTAGCCTGTGCAGAGTGAAGAGCAAACACCCTATACGGGCCCATTATAAAGCCGACTGCCCCCTACAGTTTACTTACAGCGCAGGATCGTGTCCTTAATCGGCCTGAAGCCATTCTCCTTGTGCGTCACATCGATATAATAGAGGCACCTCAGCTCCCGGGGGTAGTCTTTCCGGTCAATGCCCTTCAGCACGGGGATGGCACGCCCGTTGGCCATAGGCGCCTCTGCCAACGCCTGATGCATCTGGTACCTGCACCAGGGATCCTCGAGGAAGCTAGGGGTTATTAGCAGGACCCAGCAGTGGCTGTTCTGGACAGCATCGCACAGTTCTGTCGTGATAGCACTCCCCGGCATGGCATCCCGCAGCTGCAGGAAGCAGCGGATGCCCTCAGTCTGGCTCTCCAGATAGGAGACCATCTCCTCGACAAACTCCAAGTCCTCGTTGCTGTGGCAGATGCACACGTCATAGCTCTTGGCCCAGCGGGCACTCCCTGCGCTGCTGATGCTCACCTGGGAGGCAGGAGACAGTTGTCCTAGGCTGGCCACCGAACTGCTGGTGGAAGAGCTGGCGGTTGTCACCAAGGAGGAGGAAGAGGAGGAGGGGGACTGTTTGGTGTTCAAGCTGCTTCCTGCGGAGCTGGAGCTTCGCTTGGGTTTCTGCAGGAGCCGCCTGACCCAGCCTGTGGAGTTTAAGAGATCAGAGTCAGATTCGCTGAAGGCTGAAATACCTTCTGGGCAGATTCACAGCCCCTCCCCATGCACCACAACGAGCAGCTCCGGACATTGAACCTCCTGCTTTCTTATCATGGGGCCATCTGGGAGCTGAGTCACAGAGACCAAGTGTCAGCCCTGCCCCAGGATCTGGGCAGACAGGTCTAGTGCTAAGGTGGAGCAGACAGGTCTAGTCCAACAGTGTCTTGAGAGAGAGGCCTTTCCCTACAGCCCCAGGCATGGAAGGGCACAGGGAGATTAGGATCTGAGTGGCTGGGCTATAATCAAAAGCCAATTAAAAAAATCCTGGCTTTCAAGGAGGTTTTAACTGGAGCCACTGGGCATCAGGTCTAAAATACCCAGACTCTCTGGAGCCTCAGGATAGGGTCCTAGCTTGGATCACTCTGCCCTTCTTTCTGCAGAGAGAGATCCAAGCTCCAGGTAGTTTACTGCATATGGGACCCCGGTGAGCTGTAAGTACTGAGGTTCTCTGCACAGCAGGCTCTTGAGGTTGGCTGACAGACTAACGTTTGCACGGGTGCCCTTGGACAAAGCTTCCCCCTCCACTCACTGCTCTGCGGGATGGCAGCTGCTCCACCCCGCCCCAGATGGGGCAGCCTTTCCAAGGCTATGAGAGTTAGTAAAGTACCAGGGGATGAAGTGCAAAATCTACCTCCTTACCGCTTACTTCAGCTCTCATCACCCCAAATCCCCTGGCTGCTCTAAATTAGGAGTTAGGTCAGGTTTACATGGGAACTGCCAAACTGGATTAGACCTGAGATCTCTGTCTCCAGCAGTGGCCAACACCAGATGCTTTAGGGGAAGATGTAAGAATCCTGCAGTGCCCCCCACTGTTATAGTTAGAGATCAGCTCAAGCCCGGAAGCAGGAAGTTTAATATGTCAGAAACCGAGACACTGATGGTCACACCTAGTGGTCAGGGTGGTAGCGGTCATGCCAGGAACTGGAGCCAGGGATCAGAGCCAGAATCAGGAGTCAAGAGCAGGATTGGAGCAAGGCAGGAGTAGGGCTGGGAGCCAGGCTGGAGCCAGAGCAGGGCTGGAGCAGGCTGAGGCCTGTGGAGTCTGTCCCCACTGTCGGGCAGGGGAGAGTTCCAAGCTATGAAGTGAGCTGGGCAGACAGAGCTGTTGTGTTTCCCCAAGCGGTTTATATACCTGCCCTGAGAGTCACCAGACCAGCTCTCAGAGTAGCAGCCGTGTTAGCCTGTATCCGCAGAAAGAAGAACAGGAGTACTTGTGGCACCTTAGAGACTAACAAATTTATTAGAGCATA